GAGTGGTTTGCTAATAGTTTGTTTTGGTGAGATCTTCCAGAAAGGTCTATATTCACAGGGATTAGATTTTTTTAGAGAAGGAAGTTCGGCTTCATGCCCAACAACTACTGGATAGCACCAACTACTCGTACTGAAAAGCTCGAATGAAGGCTTTAATCAGGGCTATTGATGAGAAGATGTTGTTTTGATTGGTTGAGAACATCTTATTACAAAGATAGTGAAGGTAAAGTTACATTGAACCTTGAAGAAACCTGGTCCACTAATGAAGACCGGCTGGCTAATAATAATTCTAAGCCCTAAACACCATATTATAGAGTGGATGCCAATTAATTCAAGTTTATATGAACATGTGAATCAGTCAAAGAAGCTTAGATTATTTTTCAAACTATTCATGAAGGGACCACTGCTGTAAATCTCTCTAAGCTTCAGATGTTAGCTACCAGATTTGAAAATCTAAGAATGCAAGAGAATGAAACTATAGCCGATTTTAATTCTAAACTATGTGACATATCTAATGAATACTTTGCTCATAGAGAACAATATTTAGAGATGAAATTAGTAAGAAAAACCCTAACGTCTCTACCAAAAAGGTTTGTTTAAAAAGTCATTGCAATTGAAGAAGCCTCGAATGTGAACACTATGAAATTAGATGAATTAATGGGCACGTTAGAAGCTTTTGAGATGAACTTAAAGCAAAATAAGAAAGAGAAAAGTATTGCTCTACAAGCTAAAGTCCAAAAATCCCCCGAGAAGAATGAGTTTGATGACCAAGATGATTTGGCCGAATCACTTACTCAGTTGACTAGAGATTTTGAAAAATTCTGAAGAAGATTAACAAGAGGTTTAAAACGATAAATTTAGGAAATATTAAGGACCCATTTAGTTCGCTGATTCGAGTTGAGATGTGATGTTATGTGAGAGCTTTTTACTGTAGCAAAAAAGTTAGATGTGACTGTTTATGAGAGCTTTTTACTGTAGCAAAAAAGTTAGATGTGACTGTTTATGAGAGCTTTTTACTGTAGTAAAACTCAAATTTTAAACTCGAATCAACGAAATGAACGGGACCTAATAATTTCCATAAAAATATGAGTGTTCCATTGCTGGTGATGTTAAGAAGAACAAAGGAATCTAATGTAGGGAATGTGATGGTTATGGTCTTATTCCATCTAAGTGTGCAAATACTGTAAAAAAGAAGAAATCTCTTAATGCTCATTGGAGTGATGAAGAATCTAAAGGGAGTCAAGAAAATGATGAAGAAAATATGAATAATTATGTTGCATTTAATACTTCAGCTAATCAAGAAGAATATGAGAAAAGTGTTGCAAACAGTGTTGTAACAAGTTATGCAACAAGTCTGCTACAAAAAAGAAAAAAAAAGATAGATCTGATTCAAAATATAAATGTCGCAGTGGTGAAAAAAAGCTTAAATATGATATTATCGAGCAAGCATAAAAAATCATGTACATCAAGTGGGTCAACGTATGCAAATTGAATAAGTCTTTGAAGGAGCGAGTTGTTGAGCTTGTTACATAAAAATATGTGTTGAAGAGGACTGCAGTTAATTATGAAATCCTTACTGAAAAGGATAAGAAATTACAAGAGATTAGGGCTGAATTGGAAAATACTCAAAAAAAAAAAAAAAATCTAAAGATGTTAAATTCATAAAAGAACAAGCTGAATCACATTTTTCATTAAGAAAATCAAGAGGTGATCGTCATGACCTTGGCTACATTAACTTCAAAGACCGTATTTGTGAGAGATCTACCAGCTCTTGAATTTCACTCTCCCTCTAGTAAGAAATTTGTCCCCTCATCATCTCGAGGTAAACCAAAAATGTATCTTTCACGTTTAACCAAATTTAGGTGTTTTTTTTTTTTTTAACGATAAAATTTGTAGGTTGAACTTGAATCCAAACTCCAAAAATGTCCTAACAACTATATCCATGTTCATTGATATAATTTGTTGATGGAACAGTGATATTCCATTTCTTTCCGTTTCTTTAATTTTATTTTTTCAAGGGAAACAAAAACTCATGAGTCCAATCTAACATACATGCACTAAGATGTTGCATATGTCCACAAGCTGATGGTTTTCTTTTCTTTTCTTTTCTTTTTAGGTAAGTTCTAATTAACGGAAAATTACTTTATTTACAATATGAAGTTACAATGTATATGGGTGGGTTTTAATAGTATCTTCAAAATATATACAGTTGTCTCAGTGTTTTTTTTTTTTTTTTTTTTTTTTTTTTTTTTTTTTTTTGGGGCGGTTTTTTCATTAACAGTTGCATTAATAGACCGGCATATATATAAGTAAGGATCGTTTTGTGGTCTCTATAAATCAAAGACAAATATTTTTTGTTGATTCTGTAATTCATTCCCAGTATATGTGTGTGTGTGTGTGTGTGTGTGTATATATATATATATATATATTGATGTGAATTAGAAATTGCGAAGAAAGTACCACTTTTTGGAAAACAAAAGAAAACAGATATTTTGTAAAGTCAACTATCTTACTGAACCAGCCATCGCGCGACCGCTGACTTCAAAACTACCGTCTACAAATACTTTTCATCGCAAGAAAAATGAACGTATCTTCTTAATTAATTCCTCTCTTCCCAAATTGGCAAGCAAAAATTTTTTTAAGACTGGAAATATTTTTTGTACTGTTATTTTTCCTTTAAAACTTCTCGTTATTCATTTAACCTTTATAAATATATATATATTGTCCAAGTTTTCTCGTCTTTTCTTTTTCTGGAAGAAATAAACATGTTATAACTGGCCTTAAGAAAATTGACAGTTATGATTACTCTTAATATAAGGTCAATAATATTGTGCTCTCTCAATGTTCTTTTTGTGTGGAGAATGACGTGGGCAATAACATATACATACCATGAGTCTGCTTGGAGTACTTTTGAGTTGGATATACATTAATAATGGAGAGATCAAGTCACAATTTACTTGTTCTTCTCGAGGGAAAAACCACTACCCTATTTGATATATTATAAATCCACAGCATGTGTGTATGTATATACATATACGGTCTAATTTTAATGGTTACTCTAATATTTACTTATTAATGGATATTATTCTTTTAGTTCTAAGATATTAATTTGACGGAAGTAATCACATGAATAGTTGACTAAAAATATTAATAACAATTAATGAAATGAAATTTTTATTTAACTACATTATTAAATTTTTATATTTAGAACTGACCACCGATTGAAACATAAACATTAAAAAATCGTACATACATATTCATATATTAACCATACAAATATTTTGCTATATACCAAGTGCAAGCATAAAAGAAACGGCCTGTAAAGTAATCCAGAAAATTTAAAAGCCAAAATATGGAAAGCTAGTGGGTATAAACATGGCATGATCAGCTTGTCAATTGTCCATATTCTAAATATGAAAAGTAATTTTATTTGTATATTCTTTTAAAAGGCTCTATTAGGTTGCGAAAATCAGGTATTTTTTCTGCCTCTCGAAGAAAAATGATATTAACTGATCATAAGGGGAATATCTTACAATTTCAATTCTAGTACTATAATCATAAGTGAATGAAGGTGGTGTGGGATATGTAAATTTAGGTCATTTGGTCACAATTCAAACTTTTTGTTAAGTATTTTCTTTCACAATAATTTATGTTTTTATTTTAACTTTTTATTTAAATGTATGAATGAAATGGACAATTAGTTTTTCCTCATGAGGAGACTTGGGCCCTTTACAGGAATACTACAAGTTTTAAACTTCGATTAAAATATGTCAGGAGGCATAAATTATAATAGAGAATGCCACAGTTAAAAATACTTAAAAATCGTAAAATTCATAAAAATCATTTATATATATGAAAAACCACAAAACATCTTATAAAATTTAAAATACTAAATCAAATACACAAAAAGATAAGCATAATTTTGGTCAAATTACAAAATTTAAATGATGTTATTGTGGTATATTTTGTAATAATTTTTGTGCCTATGCAAAAGTCAATCCAACCTTAAAAAGCACGGCATATTGGAGACTTCTACTTATATCACAAATTCATTTTCAAATATGTATTATTCTTTTAGTTATATAAGAGATTTTCTTTTTTAAATAAAAAAGGTAATTTGATTGCTAGAACGTTTGTATGTGATGCCATACTGTATTGAGTCTATTGACACGACATGTCATGTGTGGGGTTGGGTCAGGACTCAGGAATTTCTATATTCTCTCTCTCTTTAATGTCAAAAGAAAAAAGAAAGCAAACATATATAATTTTTTTTTTTTTTTTTTACCAGAAAACTGAACCGAAACCATAGATAATTTAAAACAAGCGAATAATTGCATTATATTTGTTTTCACAAAGATTAAGGAGCTTATCTTGTGGGCTTTTATATACATATATCTTGCAGTGCTTGGAATTACATTCACAACGAACTACTTTTGCTTACAATGATATGTTTCTTCTTCTTTTTTCTATTCCTGAAGCTACAAAAAGTGACCTTCACGCGCTACAATGGCTCCCGGGGAATTAGGAAACGTAACCTACAATCAATACACCTGGACCATCAACTCCTTAACGGTCCTGATTAAAAGGTTCATCCTATGCTTTTACAATTCCAACCGTCTGATCTGATTTCAACCATAAACTTAAAAAAAAAAAAAAAAAGAAAGTATATCACTCGTCCAAAACTATGACGTGCCCATCAGATCATATACACATGCACATGCACAAAATCACCATCATCATCATCATCACCATCATACCACCATATCCCTTTATTCATAAGGAACAAGAATTTTCCAAAACATATGCACTTAAATTATATGATAGAAGAAGAAGAAGAAGTTAAATAAAAAATTTAATCCCAAATCGAATACGATAAAATAAACAAAGGTGAAAAAAAGAAAAGCAAATTTAAAGAAAAATTCGATTCCAAATTATGCTCTTTCACACTCTCTCTCCTCTCCTCATTTGTCCAATTATCATCTCAGTAGAAATGTCAACCGGATACCTGTAAAATTAGTTTGCACAACATCCGTACCACTCCCATTCACATATATATAAATCCCAACCTTAACCCCCAAGCCACATATATATTGTCTATATATATGTATATTTGAATACACGACCCGTCATATTATATATAATACGTCAACCCAAAGAGGAAAATATACACATAAAAGAGCTAGCTAGCTATGGCTGAGGAGTTTCAGGGCGGGATTTGCGGCGGAAACTGGTGGAGCTCATCGAGAAGCGTGTTCATGGCGGCGTCGCCGTGTTCTGTGGGGCTAAGTCATGACGTGGCGGGGTTTGGTTGGCCGAGCCATGACATGGTTGACATCAAGCTGGCAAGGTCTTCCCCAGGAGACACTAATTCGGTTTGTGATAGTACTTCTAATAACAATATTCATAGTGGATTTCAAGAAGTTCAAAAGCCTCAATACCAAAGTCACGATAATATTAACTCCGTCAGTGGTAGCGGCAGTAGTGTTTTGATCGATTCCACCGCGCAAATGATGGGTTTTAGCCTCTCAACCTCAGATTTGAACCAATCCAATAACAATTTTCTCAAGTAAGTACATAAAATTACACGATTTGATTGTGTTATTATAAATTATTAGTTCTAACTTATTCTACAATATGTATTTGATTTGTTACAATAGTAGCGGAAGAGCAGAGAGTAACAATATTTATTCCATGCTTCAAGAAGACATGGGAACAAAGTTGAATTACCGGCAAGAAATCGGTTTATTAGATTCGTCCTCTACTCAAATCCCAAAAGATTTCTCTGGTAACTGCAGTACGGTGACGACAAGCCAAGCCTTGTCGGCGGGCTTACCGGTGAGCTCATCACCGTCTTATGTGTACGGTTCGTCGACGACGGCGACGTTGTTGCAAAGCTTGTTCGACGACGAAGCTCATCATGATCATCAACTACCACAACAAAATTCCTTTTCCAACAACAACCGACCTATCAACTATAATAATTCGTCGTCGACGCCGGTCAATTACGGGTCTAATAATTGCAACAACAATATGGTATCATCTTCTTGGCCTAGATTCTCAGCGCCAAAGCAGTTACAACAACAGCCTGGCGGTCTACACTTCTCCAATAATACACCTTTTTGGAACGCCTCAGAGGCTGCAGGCCAAAACAACAACAATATCATCGGCCGAGCCGGCCTTTTTACTTCGCTGCCGCAGCAATTACAGTACGTGACACCTTTTGAAGAGAAACCCAAGTGTAATAACTTCACGACCACAAAGGTAAAGTTGATTGTAGTTTTGTTTGAGACCATGAAAAATATTATCATTTTAGCTGCTAGGGTTTGAAGGCTTATATATACTATAGTTAATGATTTAGGCGTTCAAAAATTTTCAGCCTAATGAAGACGTTCAGGACTCGGGATCTGTTGTGAAGAAAAGTAGTAGTGGTAGTATTGGTGATCATCATCAACAACCTGTGCTCAAACGAGCTAGAATCGAAACGCCTTCGCCATTACCAACTTTTAAGGTACCACACATATTTCATCAAGCTTAATTTTTCTTAATAATAAACATGAAAATGGGTGGATAAGAATTTTGAAGTTTTTTTATTTAATTTTTGATTTTTTTTTTTGGGGTAATAGGTCCGGAAAGAGAAGCTGGGGGACCGAATCACTGCTCTCCAGCAACTAGTTTCGCCTTTCGGAAAGGTAAACTTTTGGATTTTTCTTCGACTTTTTTTTGAGAGAGTAATGGTACAGTGAGAAAGAAGAAAAGAAAAACTTTCCGTGTTACTAAAAACAAAAAATCCAATTGTACATCCAAAAGCTTACCCTTTGAATCGTATTTTTCGTTGCAGACTGATACAGCTTCCGTTCTACATGAAGCCATCGAGTACATAAAATTCCTTCACGATCAAGTCAGTGTACGTTTCCTTAGTATATATGTTAGTACTAGACTAATAATTATTAGAATTTAATTTCCTTGTCTGATATTACTTGGGTTTAGTAATTGTAAAAAGTTTCTTTAATTATGTGATTTCAGGTTTTAAGTACTCCGTACATGAAGAATGGGGCTTCTAATATTCAAGTACAACAACAGGTAGAACTTGGAAAAGAAGCTCTTAATCAATTATAAATCTACGATAAACAGTACTATTAACCAATTATATTATACGTATGAGGGATTAATTATGTAATTAACCGCAGGGTTCGATTAAACCGAAGGACCAAGAAATTAGCCCAAAACAAGATCTGAAAAGCCGAGGACTCTGTTTGGTTCCTATTTCAAGCACATTCCCAGTTGCAAATGAGACCACTACTGATTTTTGGACACCAACATTTGGAGGGACTTTCAGGTGATCATCACAAGCTATACATATATATATACACACATATACACAAATATATATATATATATAGCAGCAAGCATCAAAGTAAGGATTCTACTAATTATGGTACTCGTAACACTAATCAAATTAGCCAGTGGGTAATATGGAGTTTCTCATATTGTTGGTGGACATGACAAATGGTTGTGTATGGAAAAAGGTAGCTGAAGCCACACAATTGCCGTGATGTACCAGAGAATTGAAAGAAAGAAAGGCTAAAGAAAGAATGGTATAAAAGGAGAAAGTAAAGGAAAGCTAGCTAAAGAAAAGACAATGATTTTTCTTGAGAGGGAGAGAGACAGACAAGTGCTGGGCCAGCTGCGAGAAGATCAATGATGTAGGGTAGAAAAAGGAATTATGTATGGGTATGAAGTTTATTATTAATTACGTATTAATAATGATAGTTAGGTTTTATATTAATATTATATAAAGAGATCAGGTGGGTTAGGAGCAGGAACAGGTGCTAAATTTAGCGGAAGTCGACATTAGTTTGCGGATCATTGTTGTCGTTTGTTTATGTTCTTGTTGTTTATGTTGGTTTTTTTTTTTTTTTTTTTTTTTTTTTTTTTTTTTTTTATTTTTTTCATGTTGACAAAAATAGCTGAATTTAGCAGATGGGGGATACTGAACCTTATGTTCCTGTTGATGTATATGTATACATGGGCCCACACCACCTTTTATTATTTGAGAGCAAGAAATCAATTATTAAAGAACAAAAAAAAAATGGAGATGAAGAATTAATAATAAAGTAATTTATTTTCTTTATTGTATCATTGTTAAATGGACTATCGTGAGACTGAGTGGAGGTTATTGAATTGGGGGTCCTGAGTCCCAACTTTTTCGCACTTTGTTTATGTGTTAGGCATGTGATGGTGGAAGTCAGAGAAAGGCCCACAGTGGCTGTTTTAGGGTTTCTGGCTCATATCACAGAAAAGAAAAGAGAGTTACTTCTGCATGCGCGAGTGTGTCTTCGCGCGCGCGTGTGAAACACCAAATATGCCTATTATATATTATATTTTATATACATATACATACATACATATACACACACACTATATACTATATTGCATATACAGAGCATTGTGCTTCCTGTAAAATGGCCATATTGTAGTGCACCCATGTGTTAACAAATACGTGATTTGGACAATTCTCAGCCACTTGATTAGAATATAAATTCTCTGGAATCAAAATAAGCGTTTGCATCCATTATTTATCAATATCTATAACAACACTTTTTAGATAAGCTAAGGTAATTAAATTAGAACTAAGCTTATATCCCGCTTCTTTAATAGGCCTAATAATTATTGGTACCCAGCTCCAGAAATATTTATAAGATGTATTCTTTAAAACAAGGATTTATTAATTCGCTTCACCAAATTATTTCGTTAGTCTAAAGATATATATAACATGACATGGTGGGGATACGCCTAAGACTCTTTGGTCTAGTAATGGGCAGGAAGGTTAGGGAGGGGTTTTAGGTAGGAATGTAAGTTCGATCCTACTTGTAATTTTTATTTATTATATATCTATAAGAAGAAGATATATATTAGAAAAATGTTAACATTAATTTTTTTCATTCTCTTTATCACTTTTTACATTTACTGTATAATACGTAAACTCTACGGTTTTATTTTCTGTTTAAATAATAATATATCATGTTAGTGAAGTCAACGTGTCAAACAGTAAATGTAGAGAGCGACTAAGAAAGTGACATAAAGAGTGATACTAATCTTTCTCTACATATTATATATAGATTTCTTTCCCAAAAAAAAAAGTAAGAAAAAATTGTCATGGTAAGAATATATACATGAAGATACAAAAATATGGGGGTTGGGTACGTGCATATATATATTGACTACTTATTCCCCTAACGCAGATAATGCTGATCAGCAGTACTAGTTCTATTGGCTTCACTTATGGGGCTTGTCTTAAAGAAGACAGTTCAAGATGGATCACATGCATTTTCTATTATTAGCTCTTCTGTAAAGTTGTAACATCCTTAAAAACAGCTAAAACCAGATCATTAATTATGGGTAATCTTATATTTAATCATTACGTGTTTTCTAGAGCTTATTCGTTCCGGAACTTTTGTTAAGCTAATTGGGAAACATTTTCACCACTTTTCCCAGCATGAACATGGCAAAAACACACACTTTTGTTTTCGAGATATCCATAATGATAATTGCAATAAATACGCTGACAATAGGATACTGAATCATCAAGAGTATATATATATATATATATATATCCCTGTAGCTAGTCATGTGATCATAGTACCCTTTCGAATTTATTAAAATCTAATTTGGGTTCATTTACGACGGAGCTGCAATTTCAAACAAGGAAGACTAGCCTTATTAGTGTAGAGTTTGGTATCACAGTACTTTATATACACACACACATACATAAATATTTGTTGTGGCATCCTTTGAAGTTTGAACCATGGAGAGAGAGAGGAAAGCAGTAGAGAGAATGGAATCATCCATAGAAAAGATATATTAATATTACAAAAAAAAAAACCTGATTATTCCATTTTTAAGGGAATATAAAAGACTTGTTAGTTTGTAAAAGTACTTTCAACTTTATTTAAAATTTGACGAAGTTCCTTACTTTATCAAAAAAATTGACAAGTTCCTTTTAAGCCGCTCCTCTAGCTATTCGTGACCCCCTATCTCCAAATGAGGCTAATATTAATTAGAGTAATGATAGGGACTCCAACTTAAATCTTAGTTTTTATGTATTAATTGATGTGTTATGTTAGAGCATCTCTAATATAATGATATAATTAATGTGCCAATTGTAAATTTAACATTTGAGTGCAAAAAATACTCTCCAATACAATGTTATTTGTTGTGCCAAATTTCTCATATAATAATATACTTTATGACAAATTTTTCACCAAGTATAGCATATGAGAAATTTAGCATCTGATTATTATTGGTTGAAATGTTTATTTTTTTCTTGTCATCAATGCAACTTTTACATTTTCTAATTATTTTAAGAATAAAAGTTTACTTTCACAACTTCCAAAGCTTAATAATTATGAAAAAAGTAGATTTAACATTTCAAATAGTATTATGCATTGGAGTAAAAATGAAAATAACATACCATATCATAATTTTTAATGTTAAATATAAAATTGGCAGTAGTATTTGCATTAGAGATGGTCTTAGTTGCCATCTTTTTATTAGTAGATGCAATATTTTTTATTAATTGGCGTGACAATATTTTAAACGTCCACCAATATAAAATTGACAACTCACATATCAAATCAGTTGGTACATAAGAGTTGAGATTAGAGTCAGTGTCCCTGTTATTATCCTATTAATAATGAAAGAGATAATTTTCTTCACTAAGGGAGTAGAATATTTTGTGTATGTGGAATTATTAAAGGAAGAACAAATTTGTCTACTAACATCAGCATGAAATGTACAGCTATATATACCTGATGGAGGCCAAATATATTACAACCATGCAATCATTTTCAGAATAGTGATTATATTTTTTGACGAAACTGATTTGCCGAAGGAATTCTATTTAGATTTTACTGAAAATAAAATATGAAAATGAGTATCACCATATTAATTATTCTAGTCACTAGTGTGCGTTATAGCGTGTCCAATTAAATTCTAAGTTTGTGAAGTCTAATTTGTTATGTAACAGATCGCTTGTTCCCTTCGCCTTCTTCTAATAATTAACTTCTAAGCATGCAAATCAGAATCATCATGTGAAATTCCGACATGAAAAGAAGCTAATTGTCATTCTTTGTTTAAAATAAGCAGATATCCTAAATTGTAGCTGATATAAAAAAAAAAAAAAAAAAAAAAAAAAAAAAAAAAATTTTAAAAATAAAATTAAAGTGATGCGAGTGTGATTGATATGATGTATCAATTAGGCGCTAGTGTTTAGAAATTCAGGAGAACCAAATTTGAAAAGCCTAAGCAATTAGTATGCGAATTTCAAATATAGAAACTTAACATTGAAGAATCCCTTTGAAAAATGACTAATCATGAGAAAGAAGAACTTTAATTGTTAAATCTTGCTGGTTGGTATCTCTTGGCACCTGCTTTTTTTTCATCTTTTGGTGACTTTCTTGAATTGATCGGCCAAAGGATGTTATACCATATACCTCCAAGCATCAGTATCAGTACCGTTCTCTCTCTCTCTCTCTCTCTCAATGGAATTCAATTCTGATATATATATATATATATATATATATATATATATTTCTCTCCTGAGATGTGGTTATATAACTAAGTAAAAAGAAGAAACATAAAAGGAATACTAAAAAGGAAAAGCATATTGGCATCATTGTGATATTAGTAAAGTAATATATGTGCTTTGTGTGTTTCTATATATGTATGACACTCAACAATTTCAATTTTGCTTTAATGGCACTTCTTTTTCTTGTTTTGGCTAATCAATGGCAAACTATGCTTGTCTTCTGCTACAAGTTCTTTTGATTACATGCTTAAAAAGCTTTGCCTCTTTTTTTTTTTTTTTATTATTACTTTGAATCTAATTCAACATACACGTATATCTAGCGTCTCACGCATCAAAGTTGTACATGATCAACCCTTGTGGTCGATCTACCTGTTTCTTCTATGATTTGCTTCTGTGTGGTTTATTTAAAAACAAATAAATAAATAACAAAAGTTTGATATTTCTAAGTTCCATTTTTCTTTTTATCCAAGAAAAAAGGAAATGAGTAGTACCCTTTTAGATTCTGTATGTACATAATAGCTAGCTTTGTTGATCACAAACCTTTTATATTACCCTTTGAATCTACTGCCTAGTGGTGATCCCATTCAAAAGGAGTTATATGATCTTTTCTCAGCTATCAATAAGGAGGTTAGCATAATATGAAAAGAAAAAAACAAAAACAAAAAAGTTGAGAGTTTCTGGTGAAGGAAGGCTAAAGACTGTTTAAGGTTCATATAGTAGGCACAATATATACAACAAAAGTACATATATCGCAGTTGAAAATTTGTTGGCAACAAAAGTAAATATTATCGCAGTTGAAAATTTATTGGCTAAGGGAAATAAAAGCTTGCAAAGCGTGATGAGAAAAAGACTGATAAGATTTCCTTTTCCTTCAACATTCATCAAGCATGAAGGTAACATCATCATTATATATGCTTTGATCCTCATGATATGTGGTTTGAAATTTGAGACAATAATAATATAACGCAAAAGTAAGGCTCGGGTAATTAATTTCATTTTTCCTTCCCTGCGTTCTCATGAAGACAAGACTAACAATTACTCTTTAACTTGGCCATTAAGTTGTTCTGGATGTGTAACACGACACATGGTTATCTCAAAAAAAAAAAAAAAAAAAAAAAAAAAAAAAAAAAAAAAAATTTTGTCTCACAATTCACATAAACATATATGTACTTGTGCAATCTGAAGAGATTTTACGATCATATCATCTATCTCTTGTGACATGATTTTTTTTTTCTTTTTTAGTAATATTATAGTGCCATTTGGTTAGTGACGTAGACAATGAAGACCTAGGGGTTCAAGTCCCCCTCAACTTTTTTTTTTAGGAAAATAGTAGAAAATATGCCAATATGAAAAGCTCAAGAAAATATATAGGCCAATTTTTAGTTATAGAAATTAATAGGCTATAACTTGTCAAGTTATGGTTCATAACCAGATAAGTTATGAACAAACTTGTCAAGTTATGGTTCATAGCCAGACAAGTTATGGACAATTATGGACAATAACTTGTCAAGTTATGGTTCATAACCAGACAAGTTATGGACGAAAATAGTAATTTGACCTATTTATTAACTTATGTAAACTATTGACCTATTAATTTTAATTCATCTCAAGTCTTGACCTATTTCTCTCTTTCTCCCTTTTTTTTTATTTCCTTTTTTTACCTATTTACGTATACGTGTATATATGTATATATATGAGAACACTTTTAGAAAATTATACATAATCCCATCTAAAAAGTTTAAAATACAATATTATTTCCTTTTAATTTTTATTGTAGTTATTAGCCACCACTCATAAAAATTTCCGTTTTGTCATTGCGTTTGGTTCATATATGCTTGGATTTTGAACCACAATTGAAATCTTTATGTTAAAATATTTTATGACATAAAATTTGTGTGTGTTTTTTTTATTAACCTATGAACCAAATGGTAAGTAAAAATATACTACTAGGAGATTTGTATTGATTATTATAAATGCTGTGGTGGTTATCTATACCATAGATCTATTAGAATTAAATAGCTACTTGGCTTTCAAGGGAACGGAATTAGATGGCTATCCCAAAAGTAAGAAAGACAAGAAGAAGAAAATAGATTGAACAGAATGAAAAACCAAGCAACCGAGCAACAGAAATGGTCGTTTGGAACCAGGAGAAATGCTTTTAGCTGAATGTGATGCAAAAAAATTTATGGATCACTCCAATCTTTGTCTGCCTACTCAATAGCATGTGCCTGCTCTTTGTTTGGGCTCTTGCCTTATTATGGCATAAGAGTTGGGCAAAGCCTTCTTTTTTAATTGGACTTTCTCATCAAAATCCAGCCCCAATAAATTCTCTCTCTCTCTCTCTGCTCTAATAAATCTCTCTCTCTCTGCTCTAATAAATCTCTCTTGCTCTCTCTGCCACAATAATCTCTCTCTCTGCCCTAATAAATCTCTCTCTCTCTCTGCCCTAATAAATCTCTCTCTCTCTCTGCCCTAATAAGTCTCTCTCTCTGCTCTCTTACTTTGGTACAGACTACAGAGAGTATCTCTCTCTCTGTTTCTCTCTCTGTTTACAGAGAGCATCTCTCTCTGTCCTAATAAATCTCTTACTTTGGTACATTAAGTACCATTCATTGAGTAGATTTTTTAGAAGACGGTTCATGAATTAGAATTATGTGATTAAAATTATTTTTAATTTATGTGTATATTTTATGAAAAAAAATACTATAATAAATCACGAACTATGATTCCATCATCAAGAAACAAATTTAGGTACCAAACACCCCCTTACTTTGGTACAGACTACAGAGAGTATCTCTCTCTTTCTCTCTGTCTCTCTCTGTCTCTCTCTCTGTCTACAGAGAGTATCTCTCTCTGTCTCTCTCTCTCTCTCTCTCCCCTAATAAATCTCTTACTTTGGTACAGACTACAGAGAGTACCATTCATTGAGCAGATAACTTTTTAGAGGATATGACAAGGACTTATCCCTGAAGCTACTACCCTATTCCGAGAGCTTGTAACAAGCAGATAAGCTTGATTTTTTTTTCTTTTAATATGTCGTGGCCGTAGGACCTATGACTGTCACTATATTAAACAGAAATAAAACCACTTAGGTCACACACTCACACATATAATCACTTAGCTAAGTTTAAACTCCTAACTCATGCCTTTTATTTATATACGAATATAATTCATGGTGTTATTTTCCATTTTTTAGGAAAAAAAGAAAAAAAACTTTTATACCAATTTTGGGACGTGGCAAAAGAAGTTTGAATGTAGATCTTTAGTATGTGCATCAGTGCATGCGTTCTTAAAAGTTATAACTTATGTATGGGATTGTCCAAGAAAAAAAAAATGTAAGGAAAAAAGTCCTCAGGCCTTCTGTGATCATTTTGTACGACGAGATGAATAAGTAATTGGTTCTGCCTCACTTGGACAAGGAATGAGAAAAGGTCTTAAGCAAAGATATCATTTTATCCAACATCCCCATACAGTATAAAGTAGCACATATACCAAACAAAGCAATAGTTTACGAGAACATGAAGTTGGAAAATTAAGACTGTTGAATAGGAAAGTATTTTGTGCAAGTATAGAAAAATGCTGAATAGTGAATAGGTAAGTATGGTGAACGAACTCAAGCAGTTCCCTTGAGCTTCTTAGCAACACCGGCAAAGTACTTCCCCTGGTGGAAAGCTTGCTGTAGCTCTAGCTCCGATGGTTGCCTTGTGCCGTCCCCAGCAAAGGTTCCCGCACCGTAAGGGCTGCCGCCCTTAATATTCTCCATCTCAAACATGCCAGCTCCAAATGTGTATCCAATAGGCACAAAGATCAATCCATGGTGAACGAGCTGCGTGATGGCAGTCAAGCTGCAAAGTTTTTCGAATACGAAGGTCAAATTTCAAACTGTTAACGTAGAGTTCACTATCATGATACTTTGGTTGTGAAAAATGAGACAAAAAGTTCTGGAAGAAATGGAAACTCACGGAGTAGTCTCTTGTCCACCTCCTTGAGATCCGGTGCTGTAGAAAATTCCAGCAGGTTTGCCTGCAAGTTGTTGTGTTCTCCACAAACCCCCAGTAGCATCAAAAAATGCTTTAAATTGTGCAGCCATCATTCCGAATCTGGTTGGGAAACCAAATAGTAACCCATCAGCCTCAGCGAGTTCATTAGGTGTAATGATAGGGACATCACTCTTTGACGGAGCGCCCATTTTTCCAAGAACCTCATCTGGCAGCGTCTCGGGTACCTGTTGAGGTGCAAAATTTAAATGATAAGCATTAGCATACTATAATTTTTGCTCAGAAGACAAATCAGATTTGTTATACAAAAACTGAATCTTTTTGAAGCATACGGTTACTGCTAGTGGAAAAAGGAAAATTCAAGAAAAGCGCTCATACATATTACATTTTTGTTCAGTAAGTATCATTCATATTCCATACATGTATCCTGGAGAAGCTAAAATTAGGACAACAGAGTTTTAAAGAAGGCTACAAAAAGGCATAACATAGCTGTTAAACATCAAGGCATCATAAGACGTTATTTAAATAAAATAAAAAAAATAAAAAACATGGCATCATATTGGACTTTAATTAGGAAGGAACAACCTGCATTTAATTCTCCAGAAAAAAAAAAAAAAACAATCAAATTAATCGCGATATGCATTTGGAACTTGTTTCAAAATGATTTTGTTTTTTGTAAGAAAATGAAAATGAAAACGTTTTCAATCTCAGACATAAATCATTTTAAAAATGCATTTAGTAGTTTTATCAGGAGATTGTTTTCAGTATAAAAAAATCCATTAATGTCTCTATCTCTCTCTCTCTCCGCTCGAGAGAGGAAAAAATGAAAAATGACTAAAAGTCGTTTTTTATTTCTCTCTCATTTTACACTAAACTAAAAAATCATTTTGATTTCCGTTTTTTATCTTTAATTGTGCCAAACGTCGTTTCTCTCCCGTTTTCATTTTTTTTTCTCAAAAAACGTGAAAAACAAAAACAAAAACAACAACAACTCCAAACACAAATATTCCAAATTTTTAAGCATGCTGCATTTCTCCCTGTTTTGAGAATTTAATTGCCGGTAAACATCTTTAGGTAAAGCCAGTAGGAAAAATAAAACAAATAAATAAATATTATGCATTAGTGGTGAAGAATTCAATGACATTTTCGCACCTGCCATAGCTTTGCTTCTACTCCCTCAACTGATGCAGCTCCTTTTTGTATCTCTTCGGCGAGCTTTGCAACGTGTCCATACATGGAATAGTAACTGAGCAAGCATTTGGGAGTTTCAAAATTTTATTCAGTTAGCAAGCTTCATAACAGTGTAGAACACATAAGATTTAATTATATACAGTTTTAAGGACATGATGCAGACCATATCTCCCAATTATATTCCTCTTACAAGGCCAAAGGTCGTTAGCCCGGGGACCAAAACATTTGAAAAAAAAAAAAAGCACACGATACTTAAAAGATAAGCAAGATATTTTTGTTATGGTGACAGTAAAATGGCCACACAGGATGATGGGACTCTTACAAGAGAAGTTTCCTACAAAGTTTGACTTTGATGTCGGTATAAATTATTAGCCATACCACCAGTGCATCAATCTATGTCATCACTTGGTAGTGACACCACATAGTTCAAAGACTATAAATTGGAGAATTCTATAATTGAGAACGATAGAAATACCCTGCTGGTGGAACACAGTTCTTAACCATAAGAACAACTGAGGTAGACCTTTTTTACTGTTTGATCAAATAAGAATCGTATTATCAAATTAAATAAAGTGTGACAATTTAACAAAATCCGACGAAGATCTTATACCTCAAAACTGTGTTCTACCAATAGAATATATTTTTATATCCAATAAATTTTAGTTAACTTGTTTGATAAAACAAATAGTTACAGTACATAGTAGCGCCACCAATAATATCCATCCCGTATAACCCACTTTGTTTTCAATGAAAAGGTAAAACAGAAGAAACGCAGAAGTAAGAAAAAACCAAGGAAAAAAATACCAAGAAAAAGTCAATACTAAAATAGTTGCACATGAGAAAGTGTACCAGAACCCATCTCAATAATGATGATTTCTGAAACCACACGCTGTACAATTTTTCCCTCCCAATCATGATTTATAAGGGTTAGTTTAGTTTTCACTTTCATATTAATCACGTCATCTCAACAAGCTTTATATAATTCCTACAATTATCAAAATCATCCTTTTTGAATAACATGCAAAGTTAATGTTTCAACTTTAGCTAATTGCAGGCATCAAAACAGCATGACTTGACTCTTCAACAGATGACAATTATCAAGCCATGCCAAAACTACAGAGCCCTTAGCCCCCCAAAAGCCAGAAACTCTTCAAGACATATTTATGACTTTGCTTTTTCACGAAAGAAGATAAAAATTTTGCAATTTTTAGCCTTGATCTAGGCCTCTACGATAAAAATCTTTCTATGTTGTAATCATTTGATCTCTGGCTGACAAGCCAAAATTAAGCACTAGAGAGAATTGGCAAATAGTCTCTGCCTTTCAATGTAATAAAAGCGTTTTGACTTGTTTCTTTCAACCACAAAAAATAAATAAATAAATAAATCCAAGAATCGTCACACAAGAATGCAAAGGAAAAAAGAAAAATAATTAATTAATTAAAAAAGAAAAAGCTACCGGACTTTAGCAGGAAATTCCTCAAGATAGTTGAAGTATTGCAAAATGTATTCACCACTGAAGAACATAAATTTTTTTCATCTATGAACAGGTCAGCCATGAAAAATTCTTCACGACAAGAAGATTGGATAAAGTTACTCTTGAATCACCCAATGCGAATTCAACACTGGCGTCATAAAAAAGCCACCAGATTTTCCAATTCAGCAATTCCTTTGTTTAAACAAACCCAGAAAACGGTTCCACTTTATTTAATCAAAAGAAAGAGAAAATGGAAAAATTGAAGGACCCAGAAATCATATATTGAGAGCGACTGGAAACAACTAATGGGGTTATCTAAATACGTTGAAAAAGGTGAAACCGGACAATAAAAAAGAGAGCACCACAATCAAAGCATAAACAAAAATAACAGAGAGAGAGACTCACACAATGTAGACTTTAGTGGCCATTGATGGAGGAGTTCGTGAGTCTCTGCGTGCGCTTTGGAAGAGCAAAAGACTTGTTATTGTTGTGGTGCGAGTGAATGGAACGTTGACAGGGAAGCACCAAAGAGGGGACCTCTATTTATAGTGCAGAGGAAGAAATAAAAATTATAATAGTAAAGAGGATTAAGGACCTTTAATTCTTCCGTTTAAATAAGTGATTTTAATTTATTAATAAAAATTTATAAAAAAATAATTAGTGAAAAATTTTTAATTTAAATTTTTTATAAAAAAATACCGTAATATAATAAGCATCATAATTTTAAATATATTTATTAAACGGATTTTACAGGTCGGCAGTAATTTAAAATTTTTGTCATTCTCACTTAATTTATGGATTTTAAAACTTTCACTTCATCATTTTTGTTAGAATTTTTGTCAAAATTAGATAGAGAAATAAGAATTAGGTATGGTCATGTAGTCTTCTTCTATTTATTTTCAACCAAAGTTCTAAATAAAAGGACACATGATTATAAAAATTACTTATTTTTATTTTTTTAATATAAATTCTAAAAAAAATGTCTCAAGTGAGACTAATTTAAAATTTAAAAAGTAAAATTTGAGTTTTTAAAGTTTGAAAGTTAAACTAAAAATGATCCTAAGATTTTTAGACACCGATGAGAATAATTAAAATAAAAAAAATTGCAAATTGAATATTGAAGATCTAAAATCGAAAAATTCTACACTATGACATGAAAAATACCCAATAAATAAGAAAGAATACCAAGAATAATGCTAGATCATATCAAACCAAAATCATCTAAAAATGTATAACAATTTAAGAGAATCTTTATATGCAATAAATTAGTTTTTTTTCCTACCAAAAAAACTTAGGTTTTTTTTTTAATAATAATATGATCCTTGATTAGTGTTTTGTTAATGGGGTTGTTTGCATAATTAGTGGGGTTTTATTTTCTTGACACGTAATATGTGCTTTTCTTGATGTCATGCTTATCATCATTGCAAAACCAATCAGTCTCTAGCCTTCGCTAATTGAATTGAATAACTTTTGCATTTGTTTTTCTTCTGGCTGCCATTACCACGTTCAATTAGTTTTGTTTATTTTTAATAATGAAATGATATATCACTTTCAAACCAAAAGGTTTAAGCTTTAACTTTATTTTAACTTGCCAAAACGTCCTTTAGAAAATCCAGATCATATCTTCCAACTTTTAAAATGGGGAAAAAGTCTGTTTTTCTTAAGTATTTATAATTTGAATTTCGAGCAAGGAATCAAGGGCAATGTGTTGTGATTTTTCGAGAGACATTTAGGGTGCATTTAGAACTTATTTTAAAATAATTTTATTTTTTGTATGAAAATAAAAATGAAATGTTTTTAATTTTAGACATAAATTATTTTTAAAAATGTGTTTGGTAGTTTTATCAAGAGATTCTTTTCAGTATAAAAAAATTCATTAATATCTCGCTCTTTCTCTGTGCTCGAAAGAGGAGAAAACAGAAATAAAAATGAAAAATGACTAAAAGTCATTTTTCATTTATCTCTCATTTTACATTAAATCAAAAAATCGTTTATATTTCTGTTTTTTTATTTTTAATTGTGTCAAACGTCGTTTCTCTCTTATTTTTATTTTTATTTTTTGAAAAACGTGAAAAATAAAAACAAAACTAACTCCAAACAAGGTCTTAGGGTTGTGTTTTTTTTTTTTTTTTTTTTTTTCTAAACGTCGTTTCTCTCTTATTTTTATTTTTATTTTTTGAAAAACGTGAAAAATAAAAACAAAACTAACTCCAAACAAGGTCTCAGGGTTGTGTTTTTTTTTTTTTTTTTCTCTCAGGAAAATCCATCACGAAATGGCCTTCATTTACATAGGGCGGATCCGAAGGAGGTAGATTTCATAACCATTATGTAAAATATGACTTTTATTCTTTCTCATAGGCATTGTAACACTGACGTAGGAAAAACGTGAAAAATAAAAACAAAACTAACTCCAAACAAGGTCTCAGGGTTGTGTTTTTTTTTTTTTTTTTCTCTCAGGAAAATCCATCACGAAATGGCCTTCATTTACATAGGGCGGATCCGAAGGAGGTAGATTTCATAACCATTATGTAAAATATGACTTTTATTCTTTCTCATAGGCATTGTAACACTGACGTAGATGCATATGTGCATATACGATAAAGTCAATAAACCATTTATTTTTCTACCAAAAAAATATTGTTCAGTGCTTTCGTATTCTTTTATTAAAAAAAAATGAAGGAGGCAGAAAGTAGAATTTAAAAAATAAAAATAAAATAGTACCATTAATTGCCAATGTATGTAGCAAGCTTCTAAAGACTAATTATTATTATGGAGATTTTCTGCCATAGATGGAGTTTTTTTAATTATTAAATTTGTATTTTTTTTTTATTTTTACGTAATTTTATGTAAATTTAATAGACATAAAATTTAAGTTTTTTTAATTATTAAATTTGTATTTTTTTTTATTTTTACGTAATTTTATGTAAATTTAATAGACATAAAATTTAACCTATTGATATATTAATGTAAAAATAAAAATAAAATAGTACCATTAATTGCCAATGTATGTAGCAAGCTTCTAAAGACTAATTATTATTATGGAGATTTTCTGCCATAGATGGAGTTTTTTTAATTATTAAATTTGTATTTTTTTTTTATTTTTACGTAATTTTATGTAAATTTAATAGACATAAAATTTAACCTATTGATATATTAATGTACAGAAAAAGGTTTTTATTATTGTTGTTGTTGGAATGCTCCAAGCCTCCAACGCTTAATCAGGCAAACTGATGAAGGGTGAAGATCATTGACTTTTGATAATGCCAAAATCAAGGATGCGATAATATATTTAAATATGAAATAAAATGAGTTTTTGGTAGCTAGTTCAACTGGTAACAGCTCATGAAACTAAAAAACACAACAAATGCTCTGAAATTAATGACTGATTCAAAGGATTCGAACTGGTCTTCTTCTTTATCCTACTTGTTTTTGACTTTGTTTTTTAATCTTTTTTATTTTCCGCAAAATAAAGAATATGGGGAGTGAGGAATAGTCAGACTAAGAAAATGTTGGAATTTTTGGAGTCTTCTTTGATAGTTGGTTTGAAATATTGTTGGTGTATATATCCGTTAATAATTACAAAATTTTAGACCAAAGACCGAACATGAATGGGAAATCACAGTCGGTCTTCGATCATTGATTGTCAGTTTTCATACGGTCGGTTTTGAAGTTCAGATCTTGTTCATTTCATCAATTTAAATTTTTAACTCTAAGTTTTTACAGTTAAAAGCTCTCAGAAAATATTACATTTAATTTTTTCTGCTACAGTTAAAAGCTCTCAAAAATGTCACATCTCTGTTTGAATTGAAAACTCGAATCCGCGAAACGAACAATGCCACAATAACTAACAGATGGAGACATGAAGCGGATGTAGACGTTGCCCGATGCGGTGTGGCTGTGGCTTGATGCGGTGCGACAATGGCCTGAAGCGGTTGTGTGTGGCGCCAGCGTGGGTAGAGAAGGAAAGATGGGATTAGTTTTCAAATATCTAAGAGTCTGTTTGAAATGTATACTCAAATCATAATTTTTAATTCTAACATTTGAAATTTAAATTTTTTGTTAGAGTAGTAGAATCAATAATTTAAGTTTGAATATACGAAAACAATGGACTTAAAGTGTTAGCGAGTGAGAATTGAGAGTGTTGTGTGTGTTCGTGAATCAAGCGTATTAGGGAAGGGAGAGTGAAACAACAACATTTTGATCCCCACTTTTTTTATGTATTAATATTGACATATATATATATATACACACACATGCAGATATATTAAAAAAGAATGAAAAAATCCTCGGCTAGTTTAGTTTCCGACCCTAGGAAAAAAATGGCTTCTAAAAACCGAATCACTCTATTGTGCAGGCAGTCTGTTTTCTGATTAATAGTGTCTCTTTACTAATGTAAAATTGATTTTTCGATTTTCCATGGGTTTGGTGGTTTGGTTGCCGTCAATGTCGGTTTCTCAACTTGTTCCAACGGTCCTACTTCACGACTTGTTTTGTAATTGTACAACGATTGAAAAACATTACGGATCCGTTTAAAAAGTGTATTTGAATTATGATTTGATTTTTAATTTAAATTTTTTATGAGATAACTATTGGTGAGAATTTTTTTGATTTAAATTCTTCATAAGAGAAAAAACACTCTTAACGGAATTATAATTTAAGTTTGAAAACACGAACCAAATTACAACCCTAACATAGTCGTTAAATGGGGCGTGGGCTTAGCCACTCAATGATGGAGTTAATGTAATGACATTTGCGTTTTCTGTGTTTTGGCATGAAATCTGAAACGTTCCCGTTCCAGATTAATTGCCTCAAGATTCTCAACGGGTAAAGTTTTAAAATTTTGGGAGAGGGGACCCAATTTGCCAACTACTAATCGAGTGCCAATAAAATGTGGTATCGAGAATGGGTAGGTGGAATTTTCAGTTGAAATGTGGTGGTATCTTCAAGCATGCTTCTCTTTCTTAATACCAGCAATCCATATCCCCTGTTTTCATCCCGTTTAAGCAGCTATAATATCACTTAACATGATTGCTCATTTTATCTCCTAAATTAATTTGACATTAAAAGATTCACATATGGTTTGTGTTTGAGTGGCTGTCTTTCCTTTTTAGTTGTAAAAATTCTTGTCCAACTTTGAGGCGCATGCTCTGAGTAGTCTATCTACATATAGGTGAACCATGCTCAGGTTGTGGTCATGGCACTTTTTTTTTCCTTTATTTATTTTATTTTAAGGAGTTTTATGATAGAATTAGAAAAATAAACTATTGATAGTTTTTTATTTTTAACTGTTAAATTTATATTAGAAACTCTCTATTTTGCATATTTTGATATGATGTAAATTTTAATATGATTTAACGATTAAAAATTAACATTATCAGTATGATTAGTCTATCAAAGAAATTCCTTTTCTTTTATTATTATTTTTTGCTATTTTGTTACATATTTTGATATGATGTAAATTTTAATATGATTTAACGATTAAAAATTAACATCTATCAAAGAAATTCCTTTT